GGCCAGTACCGAAACTGAATTTCTATGCATTTATAAGCCTGTCTCCTACCGGCGTATCGTTTATTCTTTGTTTTGTTGTCAACTTGAAAAACAGCAGTTTGAAACCATTATGAAACTGTTTAAGAATACATGACGCGTTTAAAAGGATAAAACAAATTGAAAGGAAAGAATTTCAATGGGACAAATTCGGTGGAAAATTCTCTGTAGCCCAAAGTTTAGGCAAGTCATCGGATGTGGACACACTTATCAACCACTGTAGTCAGCGAATTGTTATCATCCATTTATTCAGTCCACATTTGTGAAACCTGTCAGAGAGATGAAGTCTTCTTACTCATCATTGCTTGGAAAACAGCCAAGTTGAAGGTTCAAGAAATAATCTGAGCATAGATGACTATCTCATGGCAAAAAATTGACAAATGGTTAGTATATAAATAATTTGAAGATTCATTTTCAAGAGACTGAAACCAGAGATTATACAGATTTGAGAATCTTAGGCTTACAACCTCTTTCTCAGTATAATTATCATACACATTAGCATTCCTTTGATCCATTTTACTGTAAGCAGTCGTTGCATGGTGGTTACATTCTCCTACATCTAACACCAAATCGATTTGTGTGCGATATATTTCTTATACAGCCACGTAAGCGAATCGCATCACTTTCACCCACAATTTAATTCTTCCTTATTATTTCAGTATTGATGGAGTCTAAAGATTTCGTCTGTGTAAAAAGTTTCATAAATATTGACTAAACAAATCGGTGATAACAGTTCTCCGATGAAAGTGTGGAGAAACGTTGTTTAACCGAAGTGAGTATTACTCATGAAATAGTAGTGACATGCTGACCACAAGATTTAACTTCCCTAAACTCTCACCCATATAATTTCAAGACCTTCCACTACATATGGATTTTTCAAGGAGTGGAATGAAACAACTGTCCAATACTCCATACTTCCCGCCGGATTTCCAGCTGATGTCGATTTGGGATGGGAACTAATTGAAAATTATCTGGTTAGTAATTAGCCTGTTCAGAGTAATTTTAACCAACAACACTGTGTGCTGGTCACAAATATGATAACTCAAGCTGAGATCATTTCTAGTGAGTTTCAGGTAATATTTTTGGTCAAGCTGTAATCAAACTCAGCAATACCAGCTCCCTGTAGATAAATATGAAAATAATAATAATACAAATGTGTTTTCAAAACTCCCTTATTTCTCTTCTCTCTCTCCTCTCCTCTCCTTCCTTTCCTTCCTTCCTTTTCCAAGCAAATAACCAGCGAAATTCTACTGAATACCGGAACCGGAAGTTGAATGGAACCAGAAATTTCTCATATTCTCTTATGTTTGTTGTTCTCTATTTTGAAAAAATCTCCTAAACCAAATCTGAATGTTTTCTCCATTCCTTTCTTTCTCTTTCAGGAGATTTATTTGATTTTGGTTGTGATTGGTACAACCGGATATCCTGTATCATTACGAAAACATAAAAGAAGTGTTTACAGTGTTCCCTTCATAATTACTTTAGTGTATAATCCATGATTTCGCTACGCATTTTTACGTCGGTTTCGTCCTTACTACTCACAAATGTAAGTAGTATGAAATATTGTTGGAATTTGTAAAGTGAAGTCGACCTTTTTATCATTAGCTAATTAATGATGCACACAATTTCCATGTTTATGCTATTGTGCCATACCATCAAGGATGGTGATGGTGGTGTTTGTAGGGTTTAGTTCATAAATTTTGCAACTAATCAGAAGAGGCCATATTCCTTAACGTAATTATATAAATTAGGCACTGTGATTGTATGCAACTCCATACTAGATCATAGTGGTATCTCATTGTGTGGGTGATATCAACTAGACTAATCTCATATAGAAGACGTAATCCATTTTATGAAACCAGTCAAAACCCTCTTACACATTAACCTGCAGTCACATGTAATCCAGAGTCACTTTGGTTAGGTGGCAGGAAGCATTGGATCTTGCTTTCGCGCTCGGTAGCATTCGTCAGCAGGGTGTGTCTGAAGTGTCAATGGGACTGATATCCCCTCAAAGATCCAAAATGGGGTGACCTGGAACTGCAGTCACAGATCTTGCTGACATTTAGTTGACCTGCCTGAGAACTTTATAACATAGAATGTTTGCTTACTGGAAAGTGACCAATTCCATGTTATCTTGTCCGAAGTACCGACAGAAACATTGATCACACAGAGATTCTTATGGATTGCCTCCAATCAGCCAACATCCATTGGAGTGAGTCGCAATGGTATGTGTCACAGCTTGGTTAATTGGTCACATTACAAAACGATGGATGATATTCAGTCAGCACCGATGACTGGATAACATGAAATAGTTTGCTCTCCAGGACCCAATCAATGTATTTAATCCAGCCCTGTGACAGGTTGATCGCAGCTCGAATAGCTCAAAGGTAACGTCCCTGACTGCAACATTGTGTGATGCGTGTTCCTATCTCTCAGATGATATCAGTTTGCTCAAGTTTGGAGGCACACGCTGCTGATGAGTGTTAAGAAGCATAAAACCGAGGTCAATCAGAGTTTCTTATCAATTACTTCCATCCAACCACCATCCCTCAAAGTGCACAGTATTGGTCACCTGTCTAGTTTTCTTGGTAACACACTGAAAAAGGATCAATCGAATTTGATCATCATCTAGTACTGGACAAGATAAAGTCGATTACTTTCCACTGATCAATTAATGTAAATTCGCATTTTTCATAGCTGCTGAAATGTTTATGATCAAATGTTGAATTTGGAACGATACTCGAAAGTTATCATCCATTTTATGTACTGAAAGTATTTTCGGTTATTTCTTCCTACCATCTATTGAAGTTCATGTCATTATCTTTCATTCTATGAAACATAGGGATCGGTGTTATGACTATGTCACACTATATTGTTGTCTAGTAGTATTTTCCACTTCCCATGATATCTGCTACATATTTTACCTGTGTGGTCTCTGAATACTCATACCGTCCAGCAGTACACTTCATTAGTTCATGATAGTTTTGTTTCAGAGGTCATACTTCATGATCTTGGTTGAATGATTTTCAATGGAAATTCAGTTGGCATCATGGTTGGGTAGTTGGAAAACTACTGGCCTATTAAAACTTTCAAAGTGGACTGTGGATGCAATTTGTGAATCGTTTGCAAATTTATCATCCAATATAGAGCTAATTGTTAAACTGTGTATAAATGTGAGAGTTTCTGTATATGAATCGTTGAGAATTTCTTTCTGTGATGCAAGTAACTAGCCGTTCAACCAATAGCACTCCACATCAGGTTTAGATATCCATATAGGGTCAGCTATGATGTCATGCAGTGAGAGAGAGACAGACAGACAGAGAGGGAGAGAGAGAGAGAGGACGAGTGAAGATTTTAAAAGTCGATCTTCTGCATAAGTGAAAATCTAAACAATGTAGTTGTTTCCAAATTTCAAAAGTTATTGGGACGCTACACTTGTGGACTGCAGTAGATTATGATTCAGTGTTGGTCTTGTTTTGTGATACACAAAGTGATCCAACTAGGTACTCATACATAGGCTAGGTAACCGGATCATGAACTAAACTGGTGTGAGTGCTAGTTATACTCTCCGCATACTCAAGCAGTGGTAGACAGGATGAGTCTATAACCTATGACCCAACAGCTAGAAGTCAAGTCCCTCGGCCAGTGAACCACAGTGAACTCCTAGGGAAGGATAATATTGGATACGGTCATACAGTATTATTTACCAAATCATGTTTTGAACACTGTTTATTCTTCACTATCAAGGTAACCACATATCTTTTCTACTTCATGTGTTTATTCTTGTTACTTTCTAGTCATGATTTATAGTGGGAGAGAGATTTTGAACTGGAAGAGAAAACTCTTTGGGCCCCTTATAGGGTTATAATGAATTCAAGGTTAAAAACCATGCATCTACGCGACAGCCAAGGTAAATCCCCCTTGACTGAAGTGATATTTTAGCGGTCGACAGAAGCTGAGTTGCATAAATGGGTTGGCACAACATCTGTCCAGTAACCTGAACATTTTTTATTCGAACCTTACCATAATATAGGTTTTCATTTCATCTGTAATCACCACCCAGTATCAGTATGTGTAAGATGATATCAAGTAAATAATTCTGTATCATCCTCAGCTACATCAAATAAACATTCTAAAATAAATTTATTGGAATTGGCTTACAGTTTCAGCTTATTTTGCATTTAGCTACATGTGCCTGTGTCTTAGAAAACGTACAAGAGAATGATATGCCAACACAGATATCTTGTTTTTGAATTTGAAGAGATTCTGAGTGTGAGAAACGGGAGTTCCAAGCTGTAATAAAAGCATAACCATTGCACAGAAGTCGGTTACCTTATCTCGTCACGTTCATGAATAACACAGACATTTTAAGCGATAACTGTTGAAACGGAGTTCTACTAGCAGCTGTCAACTCCAAATTGAGAAGAAGACACTCCCATGATTTCGGTGCTAACACAGGTGTAAAACGCTGCAATATTATTACACTTACACAAGGAACTGTTACATCAATACAGCCTACATTCTACGCTACTGAAGACCATACAATCTTTTATTCAGGCTAGAGATGTTATGAATTACTATTGATTGGAAGGTAGCTGTCATAATTCCTTAACTTAGTGGATGGCAGTTCGATGCTAGAATCGATGAGTAGTGGCTTTATGTATGAGATATAGCTGTCAGTTTGAATGTGGATACATCCATCTGATGAAGGTAAAGTAGCAGAAAGACATGCATTCTCAGTCCCGCTGTTGGTCATTATCGAAAAACATAACTGTTGTAATGAGATGGGGATACAAGGAGTTGTGATGCTGACACAAGTTGAATAATTCATTGGTAAAGGTCTTTAAGTGGCTTCTAAACCATTCATTAACAGTGGAACTGTGACTTCTATCATATTCCTCACCTAAATGATAGGGTATTAAATCCAGCCGTGACTGAGAAATAATGAAGACAGAGAAATGTAGCTGATAAGAGATGTGATTAAGAGTTTATGTTACGACTAAGTCATATTACATTAATTTGCTACAGAAAAATTGATTCCTTTATGTTATTCATTATATTCGTTTAAAATTTCAGTAGCACTCAAAGCAATCTTTTCATAAGCAAACTGAACATCCTCCATTTTCGTTCCATGGATGCAGAAGAATCGAAGAAATGTCACTGTTTTGGTTGACTTGACTCCATTTACCTGATCAGGTTCTTGGTATGAACCTAGCACCAGATAAATATCACCTTTTTGTAGTAACTTTTCATGCAATTTCCTTGTCAATTCATTGTTATTCTGTGTGTAAAAGTGTAAAAGAGAGTAGAATATTGAATAATTTTCTTATTTAAGGCAGGTGGATTACGATGAAACACAAACTTTTCAATACAACCATTTAAAGTGATCTCAGTTAATTGAAATCTATGAGGTCTTTGACTGCTGGTTTCAGCCGTGAATGGAAGTGTTGACTTCCCAGTCGGGGTCTATATGATAACCAAAATCACAGCTTGGAGACCCTAGGTGATATGACTGAAAATTGGTCTTATTAGCACGAATTCATCTACATATTATCTTCATCATAATCATCGTGTCACATCTCGTAATTCCTTTATCCCATTTTTCTCCCTTCTTACAACTTTCTATCACCACTGATCAAACTTTTTCCTTATTACTGCGTCTTTTATATTGCTACAATGTCTGTTGATTTTCTAGTGTCGGGTGTGGCCATTTGGAGTGTTATGCAGTAATGCCAGACAGCATTTTAAAATTGACTGATTGATTAACTTACTCAGAGAATGTGAAATGCAATTCACTATATCGTTCTACATATGTCGTTGGACTATTGGCGGGTTGACAATCTTATTAGGGTTTTACTATGGAAGCAACAACGATGGTAGGTAGTAACAGATTATACAAAAGAAATTTAGTCAGTAGTCTTAATGAACTTCGGTAGTTATACTGAAGGAAAGGTGATAAGACTTTGAATAATCATTAAAAATCACTCAGTACTCGACAGCAGTTTCACCTTATTATGAGGCATAAGATTTCTTTTCACCTACCAGTATGTTTGGAATATAATGCTGCGCAGTGATCATTCCGATTCCCCAGCCAATGAAAATCATTCATGTGGATCATGTTTCAACGTCAGTAAATCCCTGATATAATATAACATAATCTTAAGTCCGAAAGTAATCTTGATGGGGATGAAAACAACAGAAACAAAAAAAATCAGCGTCATTTTACTTAGTTGTTAGTGTTGACTGAATTCTATTCAGAAAGCTTACAGCATGACCACTAGGTTAGATGACATGATATTGAAGTCCACTGCAGGTGATGTTGGTTTACTGACATAGTTTGATAGACAGTTCTGAGACACTCATCAGCAGGAGAACTCAGAGGAAACTGATACATTCTTGAAAGTTTTCATTCGGTGTCACACTCGAAGGGGTTAACATTTAAGCTCATTATGAGAATAAAATAACCAGGCTAATTGGTCTGTTCCTTATAGTCCATAATTGACTATCGGCTGAATTCTATTATCATTTTGACTATCTGAAATAGCCGTGGTTTGACAGACTAGTATTGATGCTGGGTGATGATTGAAGGTGGAATAAAAATTTTGACCGCAGTCGGATTCGAACCAGTAACCACAGGGTTGCCAGTGGTCACCAATTTAAATAATCTAACATTCCAGTTGTTTATGTCTGATGTTAGATATTAGAACCAATCTCAATGGGGAAGATATACCTTCACATTATTCTCACCTTACTCATCAAACCGAGTTTTAGTATAATCCCTACTCTCTTTTGACGGCTTTCTACTACTTTTGACTGGTCTTTGTTTTATTACTTTATCTTTAATCATAGTGCATTTTCTCTCGATGTAATGACATAAGGTGTGGTAACTTGAAACGCTACGCAGTAATGCGTCGTTCTATGTTGATCTTATCTGCCCTTTTTGTTTGAGGTTGAACAGTTAGTTGGTTACTCTTGTAATAACGTACTTGTTTCATAGGTTCAAACATTTATTTTCGAAATAAAGGAAATTATTTTGGCTTTGGATGGTGCGAATTCACCTACAAGATGCCGTCTACCCGTATTTTATGCCTTTGGGCAGTTATCATCAAAGCACATTCATAGTCGTGAGGATACAGATATTCCCGTGATGATTTCAACCAACACCACACAGCCTTTAAGTCGAAAGCTTAACCACCAAGCTATTCAGATCTTCCTGATGCCCACTAACAAGCATAAAGTCTAGGCCTAGACCTTTCCGCTAATTGCTTTCCACCATTTAATGCCAAAAAAGGCATGCGAATTAACGCAATAAATTGTATTTCAGATATGCTTCATTCAATAATACTTCAACACTATTTTTTCAAACAGATAAACAGAGGGCTGATTTGAAGGTGGAAGTAAATAAAAATGTTTGGACATGAAATTATAATAGTTCGTTGTTTATACTATTTTAAGGCGAGAAATTAACAAGAAGTTGGAAATGTGATCAACATAAATATGAGGAGCAGTTCATCACAAAATTCTACTGTTAATCAGATTGGAAGTTCACTAGGATCAGTTTTCAGCGATATATTTGTTGCTAAAGTGTAAAGGATAAAATTCACATCTGCAATGAACGGGAGCACTTTCTGTGCAGAGTATGTTGGAGATAATTTTATTGTACGCAATAATTCAAGTCATGCGAAGAGCCCATTACAAACGTTTGACACAGGTCATTCAAACATCGAGTAAAAGCACAAAAGGAGATTCTAGGCTCCTGAATTGGAGTATCACAAAACGAAATGATAACACGCGTGAGTATTCTTGAAGAAACATGGAGTGAACGACATTTCCAATTCCACAGATTTTGTTCATGTGTTCTAGAATAAAGTCATTCATCATTATTAAATGGATGACGTTTCGAGTACAGTTGATTATTCTTAATCATACAGAGCTTAAGCTCCTTTGCACTTTAAAAATGAAGATAGAAAGTTATGTGATTATTTTCATATGAATAAGAGAGATAAGTTGTACTCGAAACGTTATCCGGTAAATAATACTGTGTTACTCTGGGCTATATCAAATAACCAAGCAATCGATCATGAAACTGTACTATTCTGCCAAAATATGATGCTCAGTAAGTGAACTACAAGAAAGATAGGTAATGAACAAAAGTGACCTCCAGTAAATGCCTACCGTTAGAGATTCACACAGAAATATGGTGATGGACTTCACTCTAGACATGAAGAAAAATTGACCTGTGTATATTAAGCTGACTGATATACAAAGGTGACGAAATAACAAAGTTAAAAATACGCTGATCAGCACAATTACACCAGGGGACTGAACACCTGTTTTGATCCTCAGTGTCACTCAACTGTTCTTAGCAAAAGACAAAACAGATCGACGAATTCATTAACTAAGCTATATATTTGTATCTTTAGAAAGAGCAGAACGTTCCTGAATTATATCCGGTCAGAGGTCAAAAAATATTCAGTAGCGAAAGAAAGTTACGTAACATGAATGAAAGTCTAGAGTAAGGAAATATATAAAGGGTCAACAGAGTAAGTATGATTGAGTAATGCAGGATTTGTCTAACTAAGTCATGGTTTTATGATGGCTATGTTAAGGACAAAGTTTGAACGTAATTTTTGGACACATTGCTGGTTTGAACGTTTATATGGCTAGTGCTTCAGCTAAATCCAAATGCCTTGATTTCATTCTCTTTGAGAGGCATGACTGAAACTTGTGGAGGATTTTGAAAGGTTACTAAAGGGAAGGTGAGTAACTTGAATTCACAAGCTGTTCTGTTATCGAACCGAAGGTGCATTTTTGCTCTTTCCTTGCCAGCCAGGCTAGGTAGTTTCTGTAACGCATCTTACAATTGGGCTCATGTCACGGTCGATTTGCTCAACTCCATAGAATTAAGTAAACTGGTATGCATACACTGGTCCGGCCGTATGCGTCAGCTTGTCTTTCATACACTGACCAGAAAGTTTCTTACAGAAGGAGAAAACTCGAAGGTTAGCAGAGCAGTAAGTTCTACATAAGAATTTTGATAGTCGTTTCTCAAAGATGTCCTCAGTAATGTCATTTCTGAATTCGACATTCAGCAAGAAATCTCTTTCGACACTGCATGTGTTTCTTCCTTGGTTTCAAGTTCTTATTTATGAATCTAGGAGAGAAACTACTTCCTACTAGGGTTCCTCACTAACAGTTTCCTCTGAACATATTTTTCTGGTCATTGAAGAGAGTTATTGAATAAAATTATGGTCAACCACAGTGCCTAAGTTTTACTCTTAAATTAATAAGATTTCTCTTCCTAATTAGACAGACCAAAGTTTGAAAATTGTTAAACTGTTCATTCCACGTAAGCTTTTCATAAATAGATCAACAAAATGAATTATTATCCCTTCTTTAGACATGAACATGAAGAAAATGGGAGGTTAGTGTAAACCAAGGAAGACGAATTTGATTTCCATAATTTGCGTCCTGCTGTATTTACCAATTTACATGTTTGTGCAAAAGTATGGATATTGAAAGGATAGAAAGGTGGGTATCTATACAGTCTGCTGAAAATATTCCCTGGAAAGTGAGCTTGAAAGGATCGAACAGTAAGAATAGTTTGATAGCATATCATCTGTTCAAAATATGGAATAATGCGAACACTAGTAATGTATTCAAAATGATTAATGAACAACACGGTTCCACCCTAGTTGACTTCACAGGAACTATCTTAATCCAAAGGTTAAAAACTAACCTTGTTAATCTGGATGAATTAATGGTTAAACTTCACTTGTTTTAGTAGAAACCTTAGCAACTCTACTCTCCTTTCTTAGATCAAGTATGATTACAGCTCACTGAGTAGTTGTTTAATTGTTAGTGCTAAGGACAGATCGATTTTTGCAATGCAACCGCTAATCGAAGTGACACATCACTCTAATGTACTGTCTTCTAGTGTTACATGTTCGAAGCAAGTACCAATAAGCAGAGAACGTAAATTAAGGGTTTCCTGACGATCAATTTCTTTCATTTAATATCATCATATTCTGCAAACTTGTTAATTTTTGCCTCGTTAAAACTACCCTATAGAACCAAATATATAAAAGTCTAAAATAACAAACTGAAATTATCAAATACACTTTGTATGGTATTATTCTGAAGTGCTTACCTTCATTCGAAAACAAACCAGACCATACTGAATATCGTTAACAATCTCAAACCGGCCATCTTCTATCAATAAATGTTCAAATCTCTTAGCCAATTGTGCATGCTAAATAGAAAAGATCAGGTTAAGAAACAGAACTTTTTGATATTAGACCAGTTTATTTCTTTCATGAACTTGGAATGTTAGTGTTTCGTTCTCGGCAACTCTAAGGAGGTGAAAGAGTCAGCTCATATATATGTATATATATATATATATATATATATATATATATATATATATGAGCGGTCACTTAAACAATGAATAAGCTTTAGATTCCACCTTTGATAGTTACCCGGTTACTCGGTTAATAGAAAAGGTAGTAAGATAACAGGAGGTCTGTTGGAATATCAAAATATGTACAAAATACTAGAGTTTATACACATTTTCAATGATGTTGAATATTCTAAGGTTATTCGAGATTTCTGTCTCTTCAACCAAACTGTTATTTACAAGTAGCTTCATGTGATCCTTCTGGAAAATTTGAAGAAACACGATTGGTTTAGAAGAGCTTCAGGGATCTCAAAATTATTATGCGGATCTCTATAACCCCTGTTTTACGCTATTACACAAAGCTGAGATGTTGAGGTATATATATATATATATATATATATATATATATATATATATATATATCACTAGGATATATCACTCGGGAAAAATTTCAATGTGATAGTTTACTGCCTACAAGGAGCAATCAATAACTAGGGTATTGTGGTAAGAGCAAATGGCATATTAGATTTATTCATTTGATTTGTAACAAACTCTCATGACGTATTGCTTAATTAATGACGTTCCAAGCATAAAATAATGCAGCTGCTTCAACATTACGGTTTTAGTGACACAAAGCTTGTTCAACCTCATTCAACATCCAAACGATAACACCACACGCCAAGCGACGCCTTTGAAGTGAAGACAGGAGCAAAACAAGGCTGTCTACTATCACGCATAATATTCCCGATTGTGGTTGACTGGACCGGATCATGCAACAAACCGTGAGGAGCGAGAAGATGAGCATACGCTGTTTGACCGATGAAAAGATCTTAGAAGATTTGGATTTCACCGATGATTTATGTCCAATGTCTAGTGTCGCACAAAGTCGAAGATCTACAGGCAAAAACTAACAAGTCGGTAGAAGAGACGATGTGAGACGGTGAAGACGGGACCTCCTTCAGGTGAACGTAGAGAAGACAGAGGCGGTGAAGATACCCAACCAACAACAACAGCAACAACAACAAGCACCATCAACGAGAGGAATCTAAGGCAAGTTGTCTCTTACACCTAGCTACCTAGACAGCATCGTTTCAACTACAAGCGGCGACACACATGAGGATGTTGAAGCCAGGATCGGAAAGCAAGACAGGTCTTCATTAACCTGAAAGTAGTGTAGAGATTTACTGCACTCAGTGTAGAGCGTGAACAAGATTCGAATTTTCAACGCTAATATCAGTCAAGTCAATGCTCTCATGTAATGGTTGAGAGAGAGACTTGGCACGTTATGAAAAGCATTTCCAACAAACTACAGACATTCATCAACAGCTGCCGTCTACGCTCTCTCGAAACTGAAGATCAGATGGCTAGAATAATAAGAATGAGCAACAAGGAACTCCGGTTGGCTGACTGGCAACGAACCAACCAACAACCTATCACCCAACAAATATGGGGAAGAAGAAAGTGGGGATGGTTTCATTAATATAGGTGTAAAACTTGGGTACTGTGGTATAATTTAATTCCATATAAGATTTGTTTATTTGATTTACAACACACAGTCATATCGTATTGCTTACTTGATGACGTTTCGAGCATAAATCATATCACATTGATATGATTATGAGCAATAATTTATGCTCAAAACGTCATCAAGTAAGCAATACGATATGACTGTGTGTTATAAATCAAATAAAGAAGTCTAATATGGAAAGTGGAGATAGATTGGGCATACACTGAGAAGACTATATGAGGACATAACGCACCAGACCAGACCAGTCCAGATCGTCGAGTGGGATCCAAATGGGAAACGATGAGTTGGACGACGGAGGGTGACATGGAGGAGATCGTGTGAGGAAGAAATGAAAGGTTCTGGGCTGGCAGTTGTGGAGCCAGGTTGAAAAGACTGCAGAGAAGAGAGTGAAATGGCGACGTTCTACTGAAGCCCATATGTTCCACCAGGAACCCAAGAGACAAATAATGATAATATTTATATTGAAGGTGATGAAATTGAAAGAGGTATTTACAAAGGGTCTGTAAATATATAACAATACTTATACTGTTCCACTTTTGTAAGCGTAAAGTATAAGTGCGGTTTGGTAGGGTATCAAGGGGACTTGGCTTTTTCTGAAGTGTACATCGAAATGTCTAGTTTGCAGTCTGATTACTATCCACAGAAGCAGTTGCTTAGATAAGCTTATGAAGGCAGTTGTTAACTGCTGCCATCTGCAATCTGAAATGACAACAGTGAAGAAAAATATTTTTTCATCCACCGTCACTTCAACTTCCATTTAGAAACTGCAGAATGTTTCAATAATTCTAACTTAGTTTTTCCTGCCTAACTTTCGACTCTCAGAGCTCAACCAATCCCGTTATGCTGACGATGGAATAGATCCTTAAGGAGAAAAACGACTTCCTGATGTCTTGATCATCTTGGTCTGGTTGGTGAACCGTGATCGCTGACTATTCACTTCAGTTAGCAGTGTACTTCTATTAAAATATCTAACATTATAATTGTTACTGTAACATCAGTACTGTTTTGAAGGAGTGAGTCAGTAATAAATCTGTTCCATTCCAAGGATATTTTGAGAAATGGATAAAAGTTATAACAGTAAAGGGGGGAGGTCATTCGATAACGAAGCAGTCTCAAGGATGAAATGGTGTAACAGTGAGTCAATAAGTGTCAAACAATAAATGTATACGCTATTTGTAGCTACAGTTTGAACACTGAACGGCACAATATAGTCTTTGATGATCATATCTTTATTTGGATCTCTTAAAATATAGGCTTCAATTAGAATTCTTACGTGTAACTGTGAAGCAATACAATTAATAGTCGAATCTTCGGGGGTTATATCGCCCACTTCGATCATGTGAAATCGAAGCGAATTTGGGTGTAGACATGTCATAGTGTTCGCTAAACATATTTAATATATTGTATATTAAATAACTATAAGTTAACTAAAATGGATTTTAAGTGATATGACTACTGCATAACAACAACAGATAGAGCTCTATGGAACTGAATTTGCAAATGATTTACAGTCCACGTTGACATTTGTCACAGCTGAGTAGTTTTTCAACTGAGTAACTGTAGCGTTCATAGAGTATCTATTAGAAATCACTCTGCTGCCAAGGTCGCAATGTGTGACCTCTGACACAAAAGTGTTATGAACTCGCGGAATATGCCAGTACTTAACAACTTGAGAAGTTGGACAGTATTCAGGCTGATCCATAGATTCAGGTGATTTGAACTAATTCAACTGTACTAACTGGATTCAGCCAGGTACACTACTGATGAGCCCTGCTTCACATGAACGAAACGGTTGTTCAGTATTTAGATCACTGTGGTGTAACTGGCGAAGTATACAGACCAGTCTGAGTGGTTTCTTACTACTCAAGTTGTTCCGTAGTAGCATACTGTTCTGAATTCATACGATGATTTTGTATTTCGTATTGTCAATTGTTTTGAATTAAACTCATTGGCAACTTTTGGCATATTGGCTGCTATGAGAATGCTTTCAAATACTTTGTGATTTTATTTCGATAGGAAGGATAAATGTAGGCAGTATAGTGGAGACCATCAGATGCGTTTCTTTCCATTGATAATGGTTATAGCAGGGGAATTCAGAACTCGCCTTTCGTCCTATTTGGGACTCGTCAGCTAAATGCGCCGCACCCCAAAGGGTGCCATTGTTCCGACTGAGACTCAAATCCAGTACTCATCGCTTCGAACGCCAAAGCGTTATCCATTAAGTCTCTGGGGAAAGACGGTGTTTCTTTCTATTTGGGACTTTTTTGCTGAGTGTAACTTTCTCCCACTCAATGCTGCAATCTCCTTGTTCATTTCTTTTCAGACAAATCGTTAAGGGGAGATTAGATCAAAAACTGGACATAGAATGACCAAGGAAAACCCTTTCATATTTAAGGATAAGGATAAGGAGTTCAACTAATTATAAATGGGAACAAAAACAGTGGAGTGGGGAAGACAGGTACACGCAAATGACGAGATCATTACCTTGGGCTTCAATGCTGGCCACTTTTCATTCTTACTACTCAGTTCACCCACTAATATTATAAAGTAGTTAGTTTCTCTGAAAATTCAATCTTTAACATTATTATTTTCTAAAGCGTTAAACAGTACATTAACTCACCAAACGAAGTAAACCGCGCAAATTTTTAAGACCGTGCAAACGTAGAACAAACCATAATTTTAAAGCTCGAAAACGTCTTCCAAGTGATAAACTCCAATTCTAGGAAAACAACATTATAAAAGGTCAAAACATATTCATAAGCATAGTGAATTAATCTTTACACAAATTGGTCACTGGCAGACAATCGATGTAACTTTCAATTTCTCAACTCCAACCAATCTCTATCGCTTCAGCTTGTGACATAACTACTAATGTGAGTGATGCGACGCTACAGTGCCGTATATTTTACTAACACCAGCCAAAAGTAAAGTAGGTGAGGATCAACAGCAAAACACCAGTATCCTGTTGGTTGCAGACACGTTTTATTGACGATTGTCAATAAACACGAAACTCGAGTCTAAGACTTCATGCCATTACTATTATTTGTCTCTTGGGTTCCTGGTGGAACATATGGGCTTCAGTAGAACGTCGCCATTTCACTCTCTTCTCTGCAGTCTTTTCAACCTGGCTCCACAACTGCCAGCCCAGAACCTTTCATTTCTTCCTCACACGATCTCCTCCATGTCACCCTCCGTCGTCCAACTCATCGTTTCCCATTTGGATCCCACTCGACGATCTGGACTGGTCTGGTCTGGTGCGTTATGTCCTCATATAGTCTTCTCAGTGTATGCCCAATCTATCTCCACTTTCCATATTAGACTTCTTTATTTGATTTATAACACACAGTCATATCGTATTGCTTACTTGATGACGTTTTGAGCATAAATTATTGCTCATAATCATATCAATGTGATATGATTTATGCTCGAAACGTCATCAAGTAAGCAATACGATATGACTGTGTGTTGTAAATCAAATAAACAAATCTTATATGGAATTAAATTATACCACAGTACCCAAGTTTTACACCTATATTAATGAAACCATCCCCACTTTCTTCTTCCCCATATTTGTTGGGTGATAGGTTGTTGGTTGGTTCGTTGCCAGTCAGCCAACCGGAGTTCCTTGTTGCTCATTCTTATTATTCTAGCCATCTGATCTTCAGTTTCGAGAGAGCGTAGACGGCAGCTGTTGATGAATGTCTGTAGTTTGTTGGAAATGCTTTTCATAACGTGCCAAGTCTCTCTCTCAACCATTACATGAGAGCATTGACTTGACTGATATTAGCGTTGAAAATTCGAATCTTGTTCACGCTCTACACTGAGTGCAGTAAATCTCTACACTACTTTCAGGTTAATGAAGACCTGTCTTGCTTTCCGATCCTGGCTTCAACATCCTCATGTGTGTCGCCGCTTGTAGTTGAAACGATGCTGTCTAGGTAGCTAGGTGTAAGAGACAACTTGCCTTAGATTCCTCTCGTTGATGGTGCTTGTTGTTGTTGCTGTTGTTGTTGGTTGGGTATCTTCACCGCCTCTGTCTTCTCTACGTTCACCTGAAGGAGGTCCCGTCTTCACCGTCTCACATCGTCTCTTCTACCGACTTGTTAGTTTTTGCCTGTAGATCTTCGACTTTGTGCGACACTAGACATTGGACATAAATCATCGGTGAAATCCAAATCTTCTAAGATCTTTTCATCGGTCAAACAGCGTATGCTCATCTTCTCGCTCCTCACGGTTTGTTGCATGATCCGGTCCAGTCAACCACAATCGGGAATATTATGCGTGATAGTAGACAGCCTTGTTTTGCTCCTGTCTTCACTTCAAAGGCGTCGCTTGGCGTGTGGTGTTATCGTTTGGATGTTGAATGAGGTTGAACAAGCTTTGTGTCACTAAAACGGTAATGTTGAAGAAGGTGCGAAATTACTTCTCGGTGGAATTTATCGAAGGCTTTTAAAAGTTCATGAAGTTGAGATACGGTGAAGAGTTTAATGCCCTTCTGTACTCTGTTTTATGATACTGCCTTGCGTAGCATTGCAGTTTGATGCGCAGATGATTTGTTTTTCTTGAAACCAGCTTGCCAGTCCAGGTTATATTTTGAACCCATCCACCTTTAATATCCTAAGGTTTATATGGGTTAATATTTTGTTGGGGTGGACTGGGGTATAGGGTGATTCCGCCCTAGTTCTTGCAAAGACTTAGTTCGCCCTTCTTTGGGATGTTGCTTAGGTAGCCCTTCTTCCAATCATTGGGCAGTTACCTTTCCTTCCTTTCGAACCTTCTGTAGTGGTGGTGTGAGCATGTCCGCTGTTGTCTCTGCGTCTGTTATCAGTGCTTCTGGCGGAATCCCATCTGGCTCTGCTGCTTTCCCGCATTTTAGCATATTTATGGCGTTCAGAACTTCAGTCCTGCTTTTGTCAGAGGGTTTGTGTTCACTAATAATTATGTGACTTGCCTGCTGATGGTATTTCTGTACGGGTTGCAGGTGGTGGTGGTGGCCGATTCAAGAGCTTTTTGAAGCGGTCAGCCCATCGTTTCCTTTGTTTCTCCTGACTAGTGGTAACTAAGTTTCTTTCACTATCTATCATTGGTTTCATCCGAGTTGATCTCTTCCCGGATAGTAACATGGTTATTTGATACAATGTTGTCAGATCTCTCCTACCAGCCTGCAGCCTGCCCTGCTTCAATTGCCAATGTGTCGTAGAAATGTCTTTTGTCTTTGCGCGCACTCTTCTTCACTTCCTTGTCCAGTGTAGTGTTTTGTAGGTTGTGTTCAATTCCTCTTTTCGTTGTTCATCCATGCACTGCATTGGCTCATCTTCTGTTTCACCATCTTCCCCTCCCTCCTATATCAGCTTCCATGTGTTTGTCGAAATCCATTCCGTGTCTTCTTTCTTCTTCCTTCCTAACTCAGTTATGCTGATTTCCTTACACATCTCTTCCAAAGAGTTCCAGTGTCCTCCCACACAGGTTTCTTCAGGGATGTTCCTTAATATATCTCATCTTTTCCTGATGACTGACGATGTGAAGATGTCCTTCGCAGTTTCGTGCTTCAGTTCAGTTTCTGTTCTGAGTGTTGAACTTGAACTGTGGTCTATCATCACCCACTTCTTTGAATGCTTCCAACTTCACTTTGAAGGTGGGTTCCTTGCACTAGATAGTGAGTGGTGTGAACCATTTCCATCTGCTTCGCTTCTTGATCTGATCTTATGTCTAGTGGGCTGGCTGTGTCTCTACTTCCTTCAGATTGAAGTGAAGTCGATATGATTTTTCGTGTAGTGCGTTCATCTGATGAAATCAAATCCATGTCGCTTTGTGAGTTACCTAATGTTTGTATGCACTGCCTCCATTCACTAAATCATTAAATGCGCAGAAGTCTGCAAACAGTTTTCTGTTCTCATTCATTTCACCGGGTGCTTCTCGGCCCATGGTTAGTTCTCTTCCTGTGTTGTCCACTCCCAGTTTGGCATTCATATCACCCATTAAAATGGATTTTGATGTAGCCATCTGGGGTAAGGTCTTATCCATTACTGATTGCAGTTGTCTGTAGAATCCCCCCTCCTTCTCTTCATCTGTATTATCTGTGGGTGCGTAACACAGCGTAACATTGTATGATTTTGACTTTCCTTCCTTTTGAGTTCAATCCATCTTGCTGTCCTGATGCTGATCGTGTAGGAGGAGATTGGTTCCCATTGCCTGAGAGCCTGAGATGCTGTTGGGAGAGGGACATCACGATAGCCACTCGAAAACTCAGTGTGCTCGTGGTTGTCATCTGGGTGACAATATCGGAGTAGATTATTGAGTCTCCAGTTGACAGTTTGGAGAGTCCACTTCCAGTCCATCTGCTTTCACAGATTCCTCACAGATTCCTAGCCTAGCACTTATATGCCACACCTTCTCATCTCTTTTGCAATCTGGGCAGCCTTGCCAGCCAGTCAGCCAGCTTCAGACATTGTTTGGACATCCTATGTCCCCATCCTTTCTTTTGTTTTCATCGAAAGAAGGGAAGACACATCGGCCAATTGGCTTCGTCAAGGCTTTCACCAACTGGCGTCATTTCGCCTCTCTGATTCCAGCTAGAAATAATTTTAATTTTATGTTTTATACTTCGTTTGTGCTCTGAAGTTTCTTTAGCGGTTAGATTGGTTTTGCGCTGTAGGATTGCTAGTCGTATGCCAAAACTTCCCTCTTAATCTGGTCTTAGGACCGGCAAGTAACTAGTGAACTAGTTACCTAGGCAAGGTTATTGTTATGCTTATACATATAATAATAAATGGAATAAAAAACATTTCAGTTCAAATTACACTGGAAGGAACCAGTTGATTGGAGTGAAACCATAAAGGTGTTTATTCTTATCGCTACTGAGTGATGATTGAAAGGGAAATGGAAATTTGGACCGCGGTCGGGTTCGAACCACCGATCAACTGAACCACGAGGTCCAACTGCTGATCAGATTTTTATTTCACTCCAGTCACTAAGGGTTTTGCCCGACTACCATATGAACTCCTGATGCATTACCACCTCTTGATCTGGTTAGCAGTTGAGCCTCGTAGTTCAGTTTATAGAGTACCAGGTAGGAAACCAGGTGGTCAGTACTTCGAATCCGGCCACACTTCAAATTTCTATTTCACCTTCAATTAGCACCGAGTGGCAATACTAGGTTGCCAAACTACGCCTATCTCAGACAGTCAAAATGATATTTTAATTGTGTGAAGCCATAACTGAAATACATTATTATTACTAAATAGTAGTGTGAACCGAAAATGAAAATTAAGAGGGGAGAGATGTACGAGATTATGATTATTCAGTGGGAAATAGAATCAACGGTTATCGTAGTAAGCTTTTGTAGATGACACTTTAAAAGCTATCCAGAAAATTACTGACTTACACGATATTCAGGCATTCCTTCAAAAGTGTGACGTAGATACAATGGATTGGCTTCGAATGCATCTGATATGATGTGATGATCACATAACCAGAGAAGTGAACAGTCGAAATTGGTAAGTAACATTTTATGAGCATTGATAGTGACTGAGTCAGCTAACTGTGAATGATAAAAAGAAGAGTCTTTCAAGCGGGGGTATTAAGCTTTGTGTTTGTTACCATTACTAAGTTTTACGTAACATTGAAATGACGTTCGGAGAATTTAAAAGTGGACTGAACCTATGATGGTTGAAATAAGACCAGGACCTGGTTAGCACTTGAGTGTTGTGACATGAAGTTAGTTACACAGGCGTCATCTGAATATTTCTTTCCTCCACTAGACTTCAATTAACTTCAGACACTTAAAGCAACGCTCAGTTGGATGGCTTATTAATGGGTGTTCCAACGAATAATTTAATCAAAACATGGTTCATCAGCCTATACTAAATAAAACATATCGGTGTGCGAATGCAGTTTCCAGTACAATTTGTCATCAGTATTTCTGTCAACATATCTGCAGTTTACTAGATAACCTAAGATACCCTACATGCACATTTACTGGTGTGTAGACACTGTACAAGGTGATGCAACCTGTTTACCTGAATTGTCTTTCATCATAAGCAAACATCTGTGCTGGCGAATACATCTCGAAAACATGAACAGGAAAACAAGGAAGTAACATATTAGTCAGTTGTAGTTTACTTACATCTGTGCTGCATGAGGCAAATAGGTGGTCAATTCGCAAATGACTTACAAATTGCACGATCCATGTTGATAATCCTCACAGCTGATTAGTTTTTCAACTGCCCAACTGCTGATGAACTCAGCCTGAAAAGACCAAAACGGTCGTTCGGTATTCAGATAACTTTGATCTAGCTGACAAAATGCACAGATCAGCTTCACTGGATTCTTATTACTCAATTTTATCAGAAGTATACGAACGAGTAGTGTTCATTATTTCACTTGGCCTAACAACACTGAGATACTTCTCTCTGAACTGCAGGATCTCGACAACAACTCTGTGTTCAAAATCGGTTTTCCCAGCAGTTATTTACAACCATGAGTGGACACTGACCTAACACTTCAATTGGACTGCAAAAATCCTTCTCATTAGCTTTATCAATTAGGAAGCATTTTACACATAGAGAATACGGAAACTTTCAGATCAAGAACATGGATAACACCAGTTAATTTGTGTAAAGTAAAACATTAGCAGATGAACTTCATCGTCCAAATTCTCCTCAACAATAGTCATGACAAGTGACCATTCCCATTTCAACTCAAGAAAAGCATAAGAAATCACTGACACTTGCAGAAGAGTTTTGAATTAGAGGAGATGAAAAGAACTTCAGTGTAATTCTGTCAAGTTGAACAGCGAGTTGCTACAATTTACTAATCATTGATTTGGGGATAAAGACAAAACGTCTGACTGACTGAAGTGATTTGGAGGGTAATGTGAATTCTAAAGTATTCAGTGTATGCTAATGGAAAGAAGATTGGTTGGAGAAAATCAGGAGTTTGACGTACAGTCACATTGTTTAGAATGGAGATGTTGTAGGCTTCAATTAAACGGAGTGATAATGTTGACTTTATCAAGTTATTGCATCCAGTCTGAAGATTAGACATTCACTATGAAATATCGAGAGATCAGAAGACATGAAACAACTATCATCCCTGATGTAGACTACTCACACTGACTATTATATAACAGTGTGCAGTTCGCCAGTCATGTCTATCTAACCTAAACATTTGTGCTTCACGTTATCATTATCTTCTCAAACCATACCATATGCAATTTCAGAATAGTCTAAGCAGAGTTAATCTGCATAGCTGTCCACATGCACAGATTTGATGAAAATTGTTTTGAAATGTTTTCTACCTAATATATGGTAAAATATTTTGTAATCATCAGATTTTCGACCATTCTCGAAAACAATGCCTAGTTTACTTCACTTCAACATTTATCCATGAAGTTTACAGTAGAAGAATTTCATAAAGTATTTGCTATGAAGGCATAGGAACTCAATGTTCAGGGTCATTAGAATTATACTAGATGCATAAACTGCAGAATCGTTCAGGTTTGTTCAATACAATTCATTTTCAAAACATTGTATTGTTTGTGAAGTGTATGTAGAGAGGAGAAAATTGATTTCTGATTTCCAGACATCCATATATATTCGGTGATAGTAGTCTTTGAAGTCTAATATGATGTATCTTGAGTTGAAGAAAATGCTACACTTACTTCGATACCCTCACCTAAATGACGAAATTCAGGGCATAGTAGTGCACTGCCTCCATAAGCTCCATCTACATGAAACCAAATATTGTATTTCTTGCCTAAAATTAAACATACAACAACAGATTTTGTGCACTAATGAAAACGACATTGCACAAAACGGATATTATCAGCGTTACAGAAGAGAATGTCATGTTACTGACTCTAAACTTCCGATTGGTCATTTTTATTTGCATCTAGATTTATTGATCAGACTGTGCATCCAACTTCACACATTCAACGTTTCTTATTCTTTCAGAAAATGATTGATTATTGTTAGCTACTTCTAAATGACAGTATTTCCTCTGAATTCATTAGTGCACCGAATGACAAGCAGTATGAGGACTGAATTCGAACAAAGAGGAACAAAGTGACGTCATTCACTCTGTGGTGACTAGCAGTCAAATCCAGGGTGAGCGTTTTGTTCCATTTGCGAATTGTCAGCTGGATGACTCTCTCTTCCAGTGAGAACAGCATCACTTACTGGTGTGGATGCGCATCCAGATGACGAGTGCCAAATAGGAAGAAACGAGCACCCTGGATTCCACTGCTGGCCACCATCGAGTGATCAAATAATCAATAATCAGGTAAGATAGAGTCATTCTCATAGAACTCCATATACCTACAGAGGTCAGTCAATTATAAGTATCGACAAAGCGTTGATGTAGACTTAGAATTAAGAGACACAAAAGAAAAAAATGAAGGATCCAGCATTTCAACAACTCACAAAGTTTGGTTGATATCCTCAGGTGGATACTTTACACACTTGATTATTTACATACTATGACGCTATCCACGGATATATGTATCGATATTGCTGTTTAAGACAACAAATGAATGATAGTAACGAAGAAGTAAAACATTGAACAGTCAAATTAAAGTCTGAGGGAGTTTGGGAATTGTTGTTGAAGATATGACAGACTGTAGATGAATTATGTGGTTATGAATCTAACAGATAGCAATTACAATAAGAGGTTCAGTAATCACAGACAGAGTGTCTAAGTGAGTATTACATTGAATCCAGACAATTGTGTATAAAAAGAAATCAAGGTTGCCTTAAATCTGTAGTGTAAGAACTAGTAGATTTTAAAAAGAAGTACTTACATACAGTACCGATTCCATGAAGATCTTCAAACTCGCATGTAGATGTTGTCCCCATTGTTGCTACACACTGTCAAAAATAATGGTGTGATAAGACGAAATAAGTTTAAATTGAACAGCATCTAAGTGGAAATTACTGTTCAGAAAGTTGTTTAGTTAAAGTGTTCGCTGCCAAAGGTTTGACGGTTATAGGTCCAAATTAGTAAGAACGAATAGACATCTACTACTGAAATACTGAAAAATTTGTAGGCAAATAAGAAAGGTCCAGAGGATAGAATGCAGTCTATTTCCAACTTTATTCAAACTTCTTCTATTTACAAGACCCATCTACGAGTTAGCTGTGAATCCCATTTCGAAGTAGTGATGGGTTTGGCCGTCTGTCATATCCAATCAATATATCTGTCTTCCTTCCTACCCCTGTTCTACACGGAGTGGGCTGAGAAAACCTGTCGGTGCAAATAGTGAGGTAATGAACAGGCAGTTATGGATGCCTCATTCATATAACTCTCCACATCATATTTGAGAGAAGAAGACTCTTGATGATTGAAGTCAGGTTAATGCGTGATTAACTGTTAGATTTGGTAGCTCACTTCATAGAGCACCAAGCCGGCAACCTGAAGATTACTAGTTCGAGAAGCACAGTGACTCAAGATTTAATTTCAACTCCAGTTACCATATTTGTGCATCAAGAACAGTTTATTCAGGAAAACTGTACTAAATACTCTAACGCAGAGTCTAATTCTATTTGTATTATTATTATTATTATTATTATTATTAGTCCCTTGGGTTCCTAGTAGAACATAGGGCTTCAGTAGCACGTCTCCATTTCATCCTGTTCTCTGAGATCTTTTGAACCTGGTCCCACGACAGCCCAGAAGCTCTCATTTCCTCCTCGCACGACCTCCTCCATGTCACCCTCGGACGTCCAACTCGTCACTTCCCATGGGGATTCCACTCGAGCATCTGGCCTGACGCGTGATGTCCTCCGTTGGCCTTCTCAGTGCATGGCCAATCCATCTCCACTTCCTCCTGCATATTTGCTGCGTGATAGGTTCTTGGTTGGTTCGTTCCCAGAGTTCCTTGTTGCTTATTCTTTCTGGCCATCTGATCTCCAGTAGCGAGCGTAAGCTGTGTTTGCTACTTAGAGAGCATATAAGTAGTATATGAAACAATATTGCTTTGAAACAGAATTATGTCTGACATCCAACCGGTCTAGGCTATGTACATAAAAACGATGAATAACGGAAGGAAATGCAAAAGACAAATGAAAAAGCAAAATATACTGAAGATCATTTCATCCTGAATGTAGTATAGAGATCTTATCTACATGTACCGGGTTGGCAGTACCAAGCGTGATTTCCCAATAATCAATTACATCGATCATCATAGGTCTTGCTTACCAAGGTACATGTACATTTAAATGACTGTACTGAGTTAAGAAGCTAAATTAGGCAAGATCATTCATAGCTTTTTTAGCTTTCACACTACACTCCCAGATATGGGTCATATTTTGATGTGACGAAGTCATTTTGGGTTCAAAATACGACCATTTGAGATTCCAATACAAAGGCTATTTAACGTCAAAATCTCAAGCACTACATACTAGGATCAAACCAGAAGTTGGAGTAGAAATTTGTATGCCAAACAGTTTAACAAGTCCGCAATGATCTCGTAGAGTTTTCAAAAATAAACAGCCTGGTTAACTCTAATTGTTCATTACTTTGACATGACAATTTATATGAGAGTATAGAGTTGTTGAGAATTGATAAGTTGTTTTTGGGATAGAACATATATTTGAGTTCCTGATAAAATTTTTCTCAAATTCTTTTCAGGTGATAGGTGAATCGAAAACATAACAGTCAATGTCTATTTATTTGTTGGTGGTGGAAGTGTATGATAATTTAAACCTTAAAAATTGGAAAAAGAACACTGAAAGTGTAGTAGTGGATAAAGCTCTGCGTTGTAAGCGAGGGTTACCGGGTTCGAGCCTCAGTGGGGACAATATCACTCACTGGGGCACAGGTGCATCCAGCTGACGAGTCCAAAATAGGACGAAACGCGCGTCCTGGATTCATCTGCTAATCAACAAGATCAATAGAACATCGACGGATTTCAGTGCAGTCACTGTTATGAGGAGTAAAACATGTCACTGTCAGTAAATACAAGAGATCACTGATAGTTTGAAAGATAGAAGGATACCTTGATGTTATTCATCTCTCATTGTCATTTATTTATATTTTACTATAAGGGCCATGTATTCTTGATGTACACAAACTAAACTATCACTACTGTTTAGTTCGTGGGCCTCGGAAATAAGCAGTCACTTGACGACAAAAGTTCTACCCATCAGACACCCAACGCAAAGCAACTTCGAGGATACACTGAGTTATCTTTCCTAAAATCGGAAAAACTCGATACTCGAATTGAAGTGGTTAAACTTACGCTTCAATCCAATCAACGATGGGCAGTTGCAAGCTATGCTAAAAATCTGTATCCGTTAAGCAAGCAGTGGCTGTCGCCAGTCAGTAACCTAATCGATAATGTTCAAAAGTTTAAAACGGCAGATGCTCGGTTCGAGCTTCAGTGAGGACAAAATCACTCACTGACAGGCAAGAACATCCATCTGACAAGTCCAAAATATGACGGAACGTGCACCAGAGATTTCACTGCTAGCCGTTATCCATAGTAAGTATCAAACTGATATCACAGGCAACCAAGCTTGCAGTGTCTTTCTAGACGTTATCCCCAGTACTAACTTCAGCTTGAAGTGATCTAGCAGGTTTTCTACGTCAGTGAATCGGTAGCCTGTCTTGACGAAGTAACTTGTGATTGAATTTCCTTTGGACTGCACCTTTTCCCTGGCTTTTTATTAGTCTCTTTTATTGATCGATAGGGTAGGCCAATGTTCATAAGCCAGATGACTGTTGAGTGACCTGAACTCCAAACATCTAGAGAATCTCTGGCTTTTTTATTTTGTCTCTACTCAAAATGCTTTTTTTTCAAAGTTGAGTTCATGTTAGCTGTTGTCTATATGCACTGATATAAGATATGTTATGTTGTTACACTTAATCTGAAACTCAAGTTCATGTAGCCGAAGACGAAAATGGTGATAGCTTTAAAGTTGGTGTTATCTGCATAGACAATGTAATTAAAATGCTACTTGAATATTTGATTCAGTCAAACGCCCAGTGTATATACTGGTCATTTGGTTCTAATTCTAGTCTGTCAACAAAATTCTTTTGGTTATCACTAAACTAAATGAAATAATATTGCATTTCACGTTATTCGATATTTTGAGTTGATCAACTGGATGTCTGAGAAGTAAGTTTAATGCTTGTTGGCACTCATCAGCAACTTAAACACTATGAAGTAAACGTTAGAAACTTCTAGGTTGCTATTCACTACTTCTATCTGTAGGAATAATGATATATGACTAAAAACGACTTTTCAGGGAACACTACATAGTTTGATGCACTCAAATTACAATATTCCAGTAAATCCAAGTGACTTGGATAGGTTTTTTGTAGAATCCAAATTATTTTACTTTCTAGAGTTAAAAGTAGTTCAAGTGTTTATTTGCAATCCTTATCACAACACTGAAATTAGGAAATTTAAGCCTCTTGATTTCAAGGAAGTGACTGAATTCTAACATCACTTCATCAAAGTCTATAGACACTAGACTTGGTTTCAGTTGGTGGTCATAGTTATGGACTTCTAAAGGCCTCAGATAAGGATTGAAAAGTTGTTCAATTCTCCTTTATTTATCAACCGTCCTCCTCAAGTTACAATAACCGTATTGCAATAAATGAATTTACTACTGAATAATAAATCCTTAGTCACTGAAATATTTAAATGCAGTATATGAAATTCATTCAGCAAATTATAAAAAACAATCTAACTTTGATTAGTTAACATACCATTGCAGGGATAAGTCCTTTGTTTTTATCACTTTCTATAGCTTCCTGTAGATCAATAGAATCAAATACCAATCTCTTTCCAACCTTTTTTGTTTGAATCACATGAAAATTGAGCAAAGCCACACGAAATGCACGAGTAACTGAACTATGTGCCTATATATCATTAGAATGTTGGAATTTAAGGGTGAAAAATTGGAAAGTAATATTCAAAACAAAAAAATTTCAGTGGTTGAAGACTTTCTAAGCAAAAAGTTTTATTAATCTGTTCTGTTTTATTTGAATCTTACTTTCACTCTGTCAAATAGTCTGTGGAGAACGGCCTGATTTTTACATGGTTCATATCACTAAATGATAGTAAATATAGAAGTTCGCCTTCAGGACAGATTGTTAAAGGTTTAAGTGAGAGGACTTGATTAGTGATAGTCAAAGAGAGAGTAGCTGCGAAAATACGCCGATAACCTTGGATGATGGTTGTGGCATATTGTGAAATGAATACAATTTGAAAGTGTTTTGGCTAATAACTGGTACATAACCGATCTAACATTGTTTAGTCTTGAGTATTGACCGATTTCTGCCCAGCATTTTGCTGTGAGATCAGCAGGCGAGAAAATCCAGCATCATGGTACACTTCGATTGTGGTTAGATGATTGCAGGTAATCGACTGCAAGCTCTTCTTCACTTGGTTCTTATGCTTGTGGGCACTCATCACTAAGGTATATGCCCACCCTCAAGATAGCTGATGTAGCCTTACAAATTGCAACCTGCACCACCCAGTGTTGCAGTTAGAGTCATTACCAATGACTTATTCGTGTGGCGATCTATCTCCTGCAGGATTGGGCCAGTTACACTGATTAGCAACTGGAGAGTAGTCGACTTCCTACTGTCTAGTCATGAGGGCTGACCGAAATATATCGATCAGTGTTCAACAGATGTGAGTTTCATAGCCTGGTGGTCACATTAAAAAATGATCATCAGAATTCGCTCAGCACTCAGGACTAGATAACATGGATTTGGTTACTCTCCTGTGGTTATTCGTTGTATTTGATTCAGTCCTACAGAGGGTTGATCATGACCTGAATAGCTCAATGGTAACATCTCTGACCGTGGCACTGGGTGATGCGGGTTCCAATCTCTCTCATTTCCTTCGAGTTTATAGATACGCTTTATTGAAGAGTGTTAAAAAGTGTGAGATCTGGGTAAAGTAGTGCTTTCCGCCGATCACCTCCATCCAAGTAACATTTTGAAGGTGCTAACCATTGAATCTCACATTGGTGACTGAATTGTGTCGTTCTAACCGTGAGGTATGAAGATACCGGTATCGGTCTTGTATGGGGTAGTTGGTGAGTAATATGGAAAACTTTCAACTTAAGACAATCTATCAAGGCTGTTCTGTTTGGTTTTCAGAACGTCTTGTATTGAGATATCAACCCATGATGGCAACTGTTTTGTTGACACAATGGATACATAAAACAAACGTAAATGTATAAAACAGGAATGGAATTCAAAAAGAGAGCAAGTCAAGGGATAGGACGGGTGTTGGTTGATAACAATCGAGGATGATGGCGTTATATCATTAATTTACTGGAGTTGTAAAATATGAGCCGCTGAATTTCGATCCATTCTGTGAATAGTACCACACTCTGTCTAAGATGTGTAGCTCCTTATCCCGAGTATGCACTGCTGAAAAGTCTTAAACCGAGATGAAACACTTGTTCACTGCTTCTAAATTTCCACAGATTCATTAGTTGCTCCAGTTTCGTAATCAGAACAATCTACAAAAAATTAAACTTATTCGAAATAATATACTGATTATTTCACACACTTGCATTACTCACAGAAATCTAAGAAGCGTGATGAAAAATCTTTTTACCTGGTCTGATGTATACGCTACCAAACGACTAACTAATGATGCATTTTCTTCATCGTTCCACTGATCAGGATTTGTAGAATTTTTCATATGGCTTCTCATTAATCTGTCTCGTACTCCTAAAGACACTGTTACACAAGCCAAACTTGCACTTAGCTAAACAAAGAAAAGAGTAACACAAATATATCACATGTTTCAAAATGATTTGCTTACGTTCACCACCAATATCATGTTCTCATAAAACAGTAATGTCAGAATTGTTATTATATATGAGTTTCTACTGCATGATAACCCTTCAAACCACAAGGGGCTAGGAGATGCTCTCTGTTTCGCTCTCTCTATATCCAACATCCGGAACTTGAGTGTCAACACAAAGTTTTCATGAATTTTACTAATACATGAGGCTTTCGATCATATTTGTAGCGCCCAACATCGGATAAATTCGTCTATGTTCATCAAAAATCAGAGTCAAAATGAGCTGAAGTTAAATCATTCAGTAATTAACCATTGACAAACCAGTTTCCGAACAGATCTACTGAGGAACTAATATACTAAAAAGTTAAAGCCATGTTACATCGGACAAGTATATACTTTTTCACATCCCAACCCTATATTCTACTCCATAAGGATATATTTAACACCGTTCAATTATATTCATGACAGAAAATTGTTAGATTGCATGGAACAGTAGATAATAGATTATGCATGAAACTATTTTTACTTCAGTATTTTGTATAAGCTGGATAGGTGGGTAGAGAAGAGCAACAAACTGGAATTTCTCACAATCCTTCATCCGTTTGTATTCAACTTTTCATCGATCTAGTTCTACTCAGGGTAGCACTGCACACAATGATGAGTATTGGTTCGACCCAAGTCAAATACATAACATAAACAGCTTTAAGAACTCACTAACTCAGTTATCCTTTTTACCCAAACAACTTTGCTCATCTGAGAATTTCAACACATGTTTATGATTCAATACCTACCTAACATCCGAATACAATGGTTATGTCTCACAACCGGGATGTAGGACAAAGAGTACTTCTATTCATTCCTCCTACCATTTAGATGACAATTGGATATTTTATCAGCAACTTAATTAGCTCAAGTTCATAAATACAAAAGAAACCTCTACATTTTACTATAATTTATTCAGAAATCAGTTGGTTAGAGTTGATGCAGCTTTCCATGTGACTTAATTGGTCACCACACTCATAGTTTATCTCAGTTGTTGTTCATTTCAATGAAATGTCTGTCTATCTTGACCTGCGAACTATGCACTCCTGCTTCATCCACATGAACATAAAATGGAAATCAAGCATCATTACATTTCATTTCTGATATCAAATTATACTAGCAACTGCTAGCATGGATTCAACTTCGAAAAAAAGTGGAGATTTCGGGCAAAAGGAAAGGAAAGAATATCAGAGGACTTCTAGAAGCATGATATTCAGGTCAACCAACAATCTTCAGGCCTGTAGGATAAGCCATCAAACCACTCACATATAAATGCTGATAGGTCATTTCACACTGGAGTTAGTACTGGTGACGCCGTCTAGGAAGATAACTCAAACATTCAGCTCAGATGGTACACGAACATCTAGGTCATCCATGTGGGTCCCAAACGTCCTACGTCACTTAAACTATACACTTGTAAATCTAATAATCTTTCGCTTTTGTGAAATAAGAGCGGATACTTGTAGCACAGAAGTATGAATATTCATTTCGAAGTATTCCCACATCTAATGGTGTTGAGAGAAGTGTTATCAATGTCGTTCTAGTCACTACCTTCAATATGATCTAGAATTCGGTAGTCAGACTGGTTTTCGCACGAGTTATCAAGGGAATCTACTCTACTTAGCCCAATGTTTGTTATGTTTATCCACCCTGTTACAGTCAACCCTCCCTTATTTTCATCACTAATTAGGAACAGTTGTGCAAGCCTTTGTATTCAGTCGAGCGTAACAGGATGTGGTCATACACCATCTGAACACTTTTTACAGAATTGAGAGACAAGAAATTGTGAGAATGGTTATGACAAGGTATGCGCTAAAACGCTCACGGCATTGCACGATGAAAGAAACAGAATACAGATGGGCAATAAATACTATGCATGCATATACTTATTAACATTCAATTCCGTAGTGAAAACAAGATGACACTCATGAGTTTATCATGTGCGTTTTGACACAGGTTGATCGTACGTCTCATGGCTAATCAAATGTTGATGAGATTATCTTAATTTAATGAACTTATTGAGGCTGAATATCTGTTTCTTAACCTCAGAGAGGAGTCTGCAGCTTTTATGACTTGAGTTTATTCTCAGCATCTCCATGTATACTTGTCTAGATAATTTTACAATCTAGTTAATACCAGTGTTGTACTGACCTACTCATTGGTGGTAGAACTCATATGGCTCAAAACTACAAATTAGTATCTTTTTTACTTTATGGACTATAATTGGGTGTTTCAAGATATCCTGCTCCCGCAAATTACCTACTCACCAACTTTTGATAGATTAGAATGAATAAATGTTTGATCTGATTGAAAATTGTAAGCTGTAGCTTAACTCAGTGATGAAATTAGCCTCAAAATATACCTTCCATCTGGATCCTATGTTTAGTTCATTCACTGATAATTTTGCCCTTGTTGCCATTCCAAATCCAGCTGGTGCAGAAGTAGGCTGTTAATGCAAATATTCCCGTCACAAATAAGTTAGATGTTCATGTAACCTTCGACTTCAGTCAGTCAATGCATTTCTTATAACACGAGATTTTGTGAGTTCAGCGGTACGCCACTTTTCACTGCCAATCTTACGCTAAGTATACTGGATCGGGCTCATTTTTAGTGGATCTGGTAACCATATTGTCAAACCTTTGCATTCTTGGGCAATTCTGGTAGTTCGGGTATGTATTTTAACCAGTCATATTACTGTCACCAGATTACAAGCAACCGGTCAGTTTCTCATGCAAACACTGGCTGAACAGAGGTGACAGTTGATTCTCAATCAACAGAAAGTAACCTCGATGGTTAAACTCCATGCATACTGAAGATGTGGATAGTGGTCAGCGCTGATAGGTATGACCTGTCAATACCCAATTTTTGTCGTCTATTAGTTAACATCGTTCAAATATATTAGAATCAAGCTGATTTGCTTCACTGTCAGTTGAGTCTGTGAGATTTGCAAGTGACCAACCAGAGTGGTGATACTTTAAACAGTATGAGTCTTGAGGTATCTCATTTGTCAGCTTCATCACAAAAAGAAGGAAACAGTTTCCGGTTGCTTAAATCACATTTACCAATTAGCTAACAGGTACCTCTGATTATTGACAGTGGTTGATAATGAAACGTGTTATTCAGTGGATTTAATTAGCCTATGTTGTGTTTAAACAATGCATGTGACGGGGGAAAATCAAAAGTATACCAGAGATCTGAAGAACTTACCTCGATAACTCCACCACCTTTATGCAAAGGGTCATTCACACTACAGGCTGATAGAAATTTATCAGGCAATCCAAATGCATGAACCAACCAATCCAAAGTGATTACCTCCATTTCTGTACAAGCAGGACAAGAAATCTGAAAATCGAAGAGAAAACAGTCCCATTTGGATACGACCAAGCAATTCGGTAAACTAGGAAACGTTTATCAGCTTGACTAAATAATAATGTTGAAGTATTGATTAGTTCTATCCGATTTCGTAGTGGTGACTGGCAGCGAAATTCGCTATTTTGACTTTTAGTTGGACTGCAAAAGTGAAGGAAACTACAAAATGTGTGTACCACCGAGGAATCTCGAACAGTTATTATGCTGAAGGAGGTCACTGGAATCCATAATGTATTCTGTGGTTATATATCACTGATTACATCTAATCAAGGATCCCTTTTTTCCATCTAGTTTAGAGGAATAACCAGCATGGGATGAACTTCCGATACCCCAAGATTTCCGCGGCACTTCTTCAATTGAAGTCACTCCGTGATGAAACCTTTATTGGGATCAATCACTTTTTCTTAACACACCGAAGAATGTAATAACCACCTATTATTTATCACTAAGTTATTTCTACATAGGTGTCCCAAAGTTCTAATGGGAAGTTGTGAAATCTGAAGTAAATTAAACAGTTGGCCATTCAGTTTGAAGGACTGTGCCAAGTGACTGGTTTCTAGGCTATTTTCATCACGGACTGTTATCAGTTGGAGAAGCAGTGAAGACCTGGAAGCACTGGACAGCTGTTTTCTTAGACTATGTGATTTCTTAACAACGCAAATCTGCCAGCCTGTCAAGGATAACACTCAACACCATCAGATCTCGTGGAGTGAAGATGATTATTTGCCAACAACACTTACTGGATGAAGATAATGTCATGTTACAGGCTAAAAGAAGTTGGAAGATATAGACCATAAGATTCTAATTTTGTGGTTGAATATCAGTATGCTTGCTGTCAGATCTCAAAGTTATGGATATTATTCCATACGTTTACACTCGAATAATCACAACTAAGGATGAAATATTCGTCCAGTGATCAATGACTTTAAGTGAGTCATCTTATATTTTCATTTTGTGATGAAAAGCACTTCAAATTAATCCGCTTCTCATGAATCATACAAATTAAACAAGAATATATTACAATGCGAGTTAAACAGCATAGAAGAGAACGTAAACAGCTAAGTGATGAGATTCTGGATATGGAAAACTTCATCGTATGTCTTTATCCTCACCATTCACTGATATATGTGAATAACTATGTTGGTTGCCTTTGAGATATTTTCAGTAACATTTCTAAATCATTCTGACAATGACAACCAACTTCTGTCTCCTATATCATTTCAAAGGTACCTTCTGCTGAAGTAGGTTCTTTTGGTGAATGTTCCCAGTGTCATTATCACTGGATCTTCAATTTCATATGAAATCTCCATGGCTGCTGCAAGCAGTAACGATTTGATTATTACAGTAAAAGTGTACTGTGTTTACACTCGTTATAAATACGGCTGTACACAATCAGCTGATGATACACTAAGAAAGATGAGAGTTTTCTCTTGAGAATTTCTTCTTAAATAGCACCTATTGAAGGACTGACGAAAATCAGAGAGTATCAAACAGTGTCATCTCATAACACTTAACTTCGCTACTATATGCATGCAGCCTTTCCTTCCTTGAATACAACTGACTAACTGAAATTTGAAAAAGGAAATCTTACTTAACTATACTATGGCGTCATTTGTGTAACACATCGACAACAGTGGGGTTTCATGACATATGTGGTCCTCAAAAATGAGAGAGAAATTGTTCATGAAGACAGAATGTGTTAATTCATCTCATTTTCTATTTTCATGTTACTCCTGTATCATTTTCATGCTTTCACCTTTAACTACTTCATGTTAGTGAGTAGTGTAAACGTATTCTTGTGCAATGTGACTTCATCTACAGCCTTCATGCTTCTCTTCTATTATAATCATAGCTTACTTATCATTGTAAAACTCCAGGATATTGGCATCCTTTCCACTTCATGGTTCTATTCCATTCCATTCAGTTATCTCTTAGATGCTGCACTTTCTCATCAGAACGGCTTTGTATAAATGAGTATAGATTAATTTTGCTAAGGGACCACCAAAAAATTAACACTCATCAGAACCACTTGAACTGTGTGAATCAATTTACTGGAAGTTGAGGACAGTTTCAAGAAAAATCACCTCATTTGAGCCAAGTGACAGTTCTTCAAAAGTCACAGGATTTGTGCAACGAATGAGATTTAAAGAAATAACATGCTGTCAAAATGTTAATTATCCCATCTGATGTATAATCATTTATCACGTATATATAAATGCGTGAAGTTAGTGATAATAATGTTACATTGAAGGCCAATGACATGTCGAGTTATATTCCGACTACTCCTCGTCAATGTATAGGGCTATAGAAGAACTCATATATCATCAATAACATCTACAAGATCTCTCAGTATAATTTTTAGGGGATAGTCAGAAAGTCTAGTTGTATCCTGTCATTATATTCGTCTAGCAACATTCTCCACCTTCTTAATAGTTATCGACTCATTGTGACACTAAACGGTAATCACATAACTTTATCTTAGCTTGCTTAGAGGGTGAAGCATAATGCCACTGAGGACAATCAGTTCGCAAATGTTTCGCTTATTGTACGGTTCAGGTTGAAATTTCGAATAGCTGAGTAGTTTTTCAACAAACCAACTGTGGTGTCAACGGGGTTTCCATCGGAAAGTACCTGGGAGTCAAGATCACAAGGCGTGATATCTGATATAAAAGTGTCATGAAGCATCGAAGTATACTAGTGAAAATTGTGAGTAGTGAGAAACTTCTCAGGTCGATCTGTAAATTTCACGGCCCTGATCAGAGTGATCCTAAGACTGGATAGCTGTTTCACTCATTTGAAGCCAAACTCATCAGTGGTGTACCCGAAGAAATTCATATCATACGGAAGGACCACTTCAGATAACCCAAATCCCATTGTTCAGTAGAATAGTTCGCTAATTCTTAACACGTGTGTCAGATATCACACCTCATTTTCTTGGCTGTAGGGTCGTTTCCAACAAAAACCCTATTGGCGTTTGGGTAGTTAAAAAGGTACTCAGCTTTGAGAAATGTCAATATGTGAACCATGCGCTCCGGAAAACGTTTAGAAGTTGATCATCATTTCTTAGGTATACCGGTCGATGCATGCAAATTAGCTAGCCGGATTCAGATAATCTGATTTAATTTGGCTGTATGGGCTAAATTTTTCCGAGTACACTGCTGATCAACCAGGCTTCAAAAGAGCAAAATGGAGGTCCGATGTTGAAATCGCTCTCATCTGGCTGGCGAAATCTACAGACAAACCTAAGTGATTTCTGACTACCCAATTTGCTTAATAGTATAGTTCGTAAGAATACTAAGTATGGAACAAAGGAGTGGTGATAAATAAATCAGGTTTTCTATATTTCTCTCCCTTCAAACGATGTAAACGACAGTAACACTGTTATATCCTTCAATTTCATGTCAACAGTAGGAAATGGAATTGACTGGTATTTCGAACATCATAGACTCAGACTATCATGATTGACAACTGTTGATGCATTTTCGAATTTAGCAGCTACTCGTGAAATGCTGGTTAGTTTTATCAAAGAATTTAAGCTAAAAAAAATTAGTTCTAGGCAATTTAAACTTTGTTCTTGTCAGTGACCGTATTTCAAGCTTCTCCTACTTCGTGCATTTAGTTCAGTAAAACTAATTAACGGTCATTCCATTTATTGTTGATCAGAAAAGGTCAATCCTGCTTCAGACTTCCTTATGGGTTTATTCGCTAAGTCATTCGATTTCATTAACCAAACGGTGAGATTGTTAATTTCTTAAAAAAGATGAGAAAGTATTTATTTTGTTGAAAGAATAAACTTACTTTCGAAAAGGTGTGAGAACACAATATGTTAAATGGTTGGAACCGAATGTCAATAAGCTCGTGAACTTACTACTGTTATTTGTGATGCAGATTTAATTCTCAAAAGCAGAATCAGAAACTTTGATGTGATACATAACTTTCTATCAGGTTGGCTTAAGCCACTCAACACTGAACAAAATTTATCACTACAAGGAGTTCCTCAGCTTGCTTCCCACGTGTAAAACTTCCTTACAGACTTAGGTCAGTATTGAGGGTTAGAAAATATGCTATCCGTTACCCTCCAGAGAATAACCGAGAATACATTATATTTATTTATCACTCCCTCAGTTCTTAACTGTCTGACATGATAGTCAGAAGTTCAGTCTGACTGTCTATCTCGTCATGGTTTTGTTAACACAGAATCAACTATTTGCTGTAGAAAAAGAGGCAGCGAAGACAAGACTTCTTTCAGGTGAACGTAGAGAAGACAGAGGTGATGATGATACCCAACCAACACCACCACCACCAACAACAACAAGCTCCAATCACCATCAACGGGAGAAACTTAAAGGAAGCAGCCTCTTGCACCTAGCTACCTAGACAGCATCGTTTCAACTACAAGCGGCGACACACATGAGGATGTTAAAGTCAGGATCAGAAAAGCAAAACAGGAGTTCATAAACCTGAAACCAGTGTATAGATGTACTGCACTCAGCATAGAATGTGAACAAGATCCGGATTTTCAACATTAATATCAGTCAAGTCAGTGCTTCTATATGGTTTGGAGACTTGGTGCGCCATGAAAAACATTTCCAACAAACTAAAGATATTCATCAACAACTGTCTGCACTCGTTACTGATGCTCAGATGGCCAGGAAGAATAATCAACAAGAAACTCTGCGAACGAACCAACCAGGAACCTATCACTCAACAAATATGCACTGGAAGGAAGTGGAGATGGATTGGGCATACACTGAGAAGGCCGACTGGGGACATCACGAGCCGGGCCAGACTGTCGAGTGGAATCGAAATGGGAAACGACAAGTTGGGCGTCCGAGGTGAGGGTGACAAGGAGGAGATGGTGCGAGGAGGAAATGAGAGCTTGTGGGCTGTTGTGGGGCCAGGTTTTGAAGACTGTAGAGAAGAGAGTGTAATAGGGGCGTGTTACTGAAGCCCTATTTTCCACTAGGAACTCAAGGGACAAATAATAATAATAATATATAAATACTGTTTTGTCCTGTATCTTTTGTACATAACCATGATATTTTTTTCTTTACAGTGAATTCAGTCATAATTTACTTGGCGATGCGCTGGCAGTGGAATCCAGGACTTGTCAGTTAGATGTACTTGGACCCTAGTGAATTATGGTATTCCCACCTAGACTCAGTACCAACACCCACCTCTCTGAATGCCAAAGCTTTATCAGATGAGTTACTGAGACACAAAGATACCTTCTGTGCAATGGATATTAGTTACTATTATTATTTTACTTTGCGATAGGTAGATGTTTCTAGTCCAAATGGGAACACAATCATCCACTTAGGTGCAGGTGGATCCAGCTGATGAGTCCGAAACAGGAAGAAACATACGTCTTTGGTAGCCACTACCAACTAAATCATAACATTGTTGAGACATCCGCATAGGAGACCATATACCAATAGAGGTCATTCAGTTTGATCCAGCATAGCAACGAGAAATTACAAGTATCAGTCAGTTGAACAATAGATCTATTTGTTTAAATTAAGTTCATTTGTCAACATTTAAGTGTCACTAATTTGTCTTAAAGAATATCTGGAGAATACAGCTCCTCCTTGCTTATAACTGATGAAATCAAATTACTCACTGAATAGGAAGACGAAATGATGGTGATGAGCAGTTTTTAGTCCGTGTACAACATTGAGAACAGTATAAAGATTGATATGAAATTATCGACTGAAGAATTAGATTTCAAACCAGACAATGAATGGTAGTGCACTAACCATTAGACCAGATAGTCATAGGATCACTCTCACATACAACTCTAAGAAATAATTGTTGATAATTGTCCAAACTCTCTAGGTTTCAATGATTCTCTAACTAAAGTCAAACTATGATGAACACTGTGCTATTCTATGCATTAAATACTTTGCAAGAGAACATCATGAAAAAAAACACACGTGAAATAACAAATTTATTTAAGTTTCTTACTGTATATAAATAAACATACCCATGAAAATCCCATGCATGCAATACTTGCACTGAATAAATCTCCTAACATTGAGGCATATGATGAAGCTGTTGGATAATATGCATGAAAATCTGGATGTTGCCAGTGGGTAACCTGAATGTTTAGACAAGTTGAATATTGACAATAAAAGTAATCTTATATATGCGTAATTCATAATACATGCAGATATTCGGAGACCACTAACGGAACGTTTTACACTAAGATTATGGACATTTCATCATTTATCAACAAATTGTACAACTTCCTTTGCATAAGGTAAACAATTATCCTTGTATACTGTTAAATTTCAGTCCCATTTGTTATATAAGTATTACATATTATTACCTGAAGAGTGGAGAAAGTATTAACTTGCTTCTCAATGACTGTTAGTGAGCTGTTTTAATGATCATTTCAAAAGAAAAGTAGGTTTTCCGAGTTGGTATTCATCGTGGACTGATAACACTTGGAGGAACATTGGAAATCTGGGAACACTTGACAGCCGTTTCGTCCTAGGTAGGGACTCCTCAGCAGTGTGCACCCACGACCCCGTTAGGAGTCGAACCCGTGAGGTTCAGACCAGCATGTTACTGTTCAGCCACTAGGTCGGGATCCAGTGGTTCCAAATCCTCACAAACCCCAAATTCAGTTAAACTAGTGCTCATTGGTGACTAGCTTCAAGAGGTGAGTCCCGAAGTTCCAGTGAGAAGTCCTGACCAATGGGGCAAACCTGGTGGCCGTGAGGACAATTACTCAAAGATGACATTAGGTAGTGATAGCGCTATGCCGTGAACTGTAAGAAGTTGGAAATATGGACCACTGGATTCCAACCCAGTGGCTTAATGGGAAAATGGTGGCCACGGAACCTGAAGGTCTTGGCTGCGGTCACTGGCCGTGTGGGGTAATGGGTGCGCACTGCTGAGGAATCCCGTAGTAAGATGGAGCAGATGTCCAGTACTCCCAGGTTCCGAATGTTTTTCCAACTGACGTCAGCCCAAGATGAATACCAACTTGAAAAATCTCTAAATCCCCACAAACCCTTAAATTCAAAATAAGTTTTACTATCCATTTCACAGTGTGAATAAATATCATACAATCATTCAAAATACTTTTCATTCAAATATACAGTCAGGTGCAATAAATTAAAACTAGCGATTGTGAAGCTTTGCATACAGTTGTGAGAAGTCATTTTTGGTTTACTGACATTACTATTAGCCTTACTTGATAACCGAATGTGAGAAAGACGTCAGAATTATTTCGTCCCAGTCACATGATCTGAAACATATTATTATTCATTATTTGTCCCTTGAGTTCCTAGTGGAAAATAGGGCTTCAGTAACACGCCCCTATTACACTCTCTTCTCTACAGTCTTCAAAACCTGGCCCCACAACAGCCCACAAGCTCTCATTTCCTCCTCGCACCATCTCCTCCTTGTCACCCTCACCTCGGACGCCCAACTTGTCGTTTCCCATTTCGATTCCACTCGACAGTCTGGCCCGGCTCGTGATGTCCCCAGTCGGCCTTCTCAGTGTATGCCCAATCCATCTCCACTTCCTTCCAGTGCATATTTGTTGAGTGATAGGTTCCTGGTTGGTTCGTTCGCAGAGTTTCTTGTTGATTATTCTTCCTGGCCATCTGAGCATCAGTAACGAGTGCAGACAGTTGTTGATGAATATCTTTAGTTTGTTGGAAATGTTTTTCATGGCGCACCAAGTCTCCAAACCATATAGAAGCACTGACTTGACTGATATTAATGTTGAAAATCCGGATCTTGTTCACATTCTATGCTGAGTGCAGTACATCTATACACTGGTTTCAGGTTTATGAACTCCTGTTTTGCTTTTCTGATCCTGACTTTAACATCCTCATGTGTGTCGCCGCTTGTAGTTGAAACGATGCTGTCTAGGTAGCTAGGTGCAAGAGGCTGCTTCCTTTAAGTTTCTCCCGTTGATGGTGATTGGAGCTTGTTGTTGTTGGTGGTGGTGGTGTTGGTTGGGTATCATCATCACCTCTGTCTTCTCTACGTTCACCTGAAGGAGGTCTCGTCTTCACTGTCTCACATCGTCTCCTCTACCGACTTGTTAGTTTTTGCCTGTAGATCTTCGACTTTGTGCGACACTAGACATTAGACATAAATCATCGGTGAAATCCAAATCTTTCAGGTCTTTTCATCGGTCAAACAGCGTATGCTCATCTTCTCGCTCCTCACGGTTTGTTGCATGATCCGGTCCAGTCAACCACAATCGGGAATATTATGCGTGATAGTAGACAGCCTTGTTTTGCTCCTGTCTCCAGTTCAAAGGCGTCGCTGAGCTTTCCAGTGTGAATCAGTTGGCATGTGGCGTTATCGTATGGATGTTGAATGAGGTTGAAGAAGATTTGTGTCACTAAAGCGGTAATGTTGAAGCATCTGCAAAATCACTTCTCGGTCGAATTTATCGAAGGCCTTATCAAAGTCGATGAAGTTGAGGTAGAGATTGTACTGCCATTCCATGCTCTGTTCTATGATGATGCGTAGCGTTGCAATTTGGTCCGCACATGATTTTTACTTACTGAATCCAGCCACCCTGTTCCGGTCGTAGTTTTGAATCCAGAGAATCCTTTAGTCTCTCCAGGATGGTGCGGCATAATATTTTGCTTGCTTGGGGTGGACAGAAGCGTGATTCCGCTCCAGTTCTTGCAAAGACTTAGGTCGCCGTTTTTTGGGATGTCGCCTAGGTAGCCCTTCTTCCAACCAATGGAAAGGTACCTTTCCTTTCTTCCAGACCTTCTGCAATAATGGTATGAGCATGTTCACTTTTGTCTCTGCGTCTGCTCCCAGTGCTTCTAACGGGATTCCATGTGGTCCTGCTGCTTTCCTGCATTTCAGTAGCTTTATGGCATTCAGGACTTCGACTTTCGTCGGAGGGCTTGTGTTTACAGGTACTTCTGTGGCTGGGCTGCAGGTGGTATTTCTGGACGAAGTGCAGGTGGTGGTCGATTCAAGAGCTTTTCGAAGTGGTCAGCCCATCATTCCCTTCTTTGGTAACTAAATTTCCGTCATCATCTTTCATTGGTTTGATCTGTGTTGATCTCCTCTCTCCCAGATATTATTATTATTATTATTAGTCCCTTGGGTTCCTAGTGGAACATAGGGCTTCAGTAGCACGCCTCCAGTGACCTCTGTTCTCTGAGATCTTTTGAACCTGGTTCCACGACAGCCCAGAAGCTCTCATTTCCTCCTCGCACGACCTCCTCCATGTCACCTTCGGACGTCCAACTCGTCGCTTCCCATGGGGATTCCACTCGAGGGCCTGACGCGTGATGTCCTCAGTCGGCCTTCTCAGTGTATGCCCAATCCATCTCCACTTCTTCCTGCATATTTGTTGCGTGATAGGTTCTTGGTTGGTTCGTTCCCAGAGTTCCTTGTTGCTTATTTTTTCTGGCCATCTGATCTTCAGCAGCGAGCGTAAGCAGTTGTTGATGAATGTCTGTAGTTTATTGGAAATGCCTTTCGTGACGCGCCAAGTCTCTCCCAGATAGCAGTATGATTATTTGATACAATGTTGTCAGGTCTCTCCTACCTGCAGCCTATTCTGCTCCCCTTGTCAGTGTGTCGTAGAAGTGTCTTTTGTGTTTCCTTTCACTCTTCACTTCTTTGTCCAGTGTTTTACACATTGTACTCAATTCCTCTTCTCGTCGTTCATCCTTGCACTGGTTAACCTTCTGCCTCACCATCCTCCTCCCCCCTACTCTATGAGCTTCGATGCGTCCATCGTGATCCATTCCTTATCTTCTTTCTTCTTCATTTCCAATGCAGTTATGCAGGTTTCTTTCAACATCTCTTTCAAAGAGTTCCAGTGTTCTTCCACACAGGTTTCTTCAGGGATGTTCCTCGATATCTCCCATTTCGTCTTGATGGTTGACGTGAAGATTTCCTTTGTAGTTTCATCCTTCAGTTCCTGGGTGTTAAACTTGAACTGTGGTCTATCATCACCCACTTCTTTGAATTCTTTCAGCTTGATTTTGCAGGTAGGTTCCTTTCACTAGATGGTGAGTGGTGTGAACCTACATCTGCTCCTCTTCTTGATCTTGTGTAAAGTAGGCTGCGTCTACACTTTCTTCCTCTTTAAATGAAGTTGATGTGATTTTTAGTATGTCTCGTGTCTGGTGAAATCCATGTCGCTCGCTTTGTGGATATCCTTGTGCCTGAACACACTGCCTGACTCCAATCACCGAATCGTTGAATGCTCAGAAGTCTGCAAACAATTCTTCATTCTCATTCATCATTTCACCGAGCGCTTCCCGACCCATGGTTAGTTCTCTTCCTGTGTTATCTACTTCCAGTTTGACATTCATGTCACCCATTAAAATGGATTCTGATGTCGACAACTGAGGTCTTGTTCAGTGTTGATTGCAGTTGCCTGTAGAATTCCTCCCCCTCCTTCTCTTCATCCGCATTATTTGTAGGTGAATAGCGTAACATTGTATGATAGTGACCTTCCTTCCTTGTGAGTTCAATCCATCTTGCTGTCATGATGCTGATCGTGTAGGAGGAGATTGGTTCCCACTGCATGAGAGCCTGCGATGCTCTTGGGAGAGGGACATCATGATAGCCACTCGAAAACTCAGTGTGCTCGTGATTGTAATCTGGGTGACAATATCAGAGTAGATTATTGACTCTCCAGTTGACAGTTTGGAGAGTCCACTTCCAGTCCATCTGTTTTCGCAGCTTCCTCGCAGATTCTTAGCCTAGCACTTCTATGCCATACCTCACCATCTCTTTTGCAATCTGGGTAGTCTTGCCAGCTAGGTTCAAACATAGTGCGGACATTCCATGTCCACATGTTTACTTCTGCTTTCATCGAGAGAGAGAAGACACATCGGCGAATTGGTTTCCCGAAAGCTTTAACCAACCGGGGATTTTTCGTCTCTCCGATTTCAGCGAGGAATAAGTTTGTTTTTATTGTTTATATTTTGTCTGTGCTTTGAAGTTTCTTTAGCTATTGGATTAGTTTTCCGGAGTAGGGTTGCAAGCCCTATGCCCAACCTTCCCTCTTCCATCGGGCTTAGGACCGGTCAGTAACTAGTGAACTAGTCAACCAGGCGAGTACAAGTCACGGCTTTATTTCATTTATGTTCCATGAGGGATTAAGACGGATCACAGATTAGATCTTTTTATATATTCACTAGGTTAGTTCCTAGAGATAATATATATTTATTGACAATGAGTTAATTATATAGAGTTATGAGCTGTTAACAATAATTCTTTGTGTTGTAGAAAAGATCTATTCCTAACAATATAAATCACAAAGATATTGCTATGTGGCTGAATGTCCTATGGCATTAGTGGCGGCTGACTTCACTGACACCAGCTTAATACTTAGGATTAAACGATAATCAAGGAGGAATTTCAGCATTTCTATCGCCTTCGATCTAAGTTTCAGAAGCTCAAACCGTAGCTACTCACTGAAATGCTGCACACCGCACTTTCTACATCTGGTCAGATTTTTAGGCAATAGTATTTTCACACGTGATCAATAAGTCTTACTCTCGATTTCGCTATATAGTCTTCTAAACCCCAGTTATTGTAGGAATGATAATTTTAATAACCCATATAGCTGGCTGCAGAACCTTAACGCTGGAGCTAGCTCCTATCGGTGTTTCGAAATTATTCTTTAATTTAATACCTTAAGATATGCATCATAATTATAAGAGCTGATTACTAACTGATTTCTCTGTTCTCATTTTTTTATGTTATCATGCGATCGAAAGATATCTTCTCTACATTTATGAACATAAAGTTTCTGTCACGGTGAAAGGTTCACATCGTTGTCACTCAGTTACGTCAAGGCTGTTTCAAGAGTATGTTCTATTATCAAAGTTGAACGAAAATGTGAAGATCAATTAACTACCCCTAAACCACATCTCTGGTTTCAGACAACTATTGAAGGCAGTTTTATTCAACCATCATATCCATCTCAGATATCTTTACTTGACTCTTTCAAGATGTCTGGTCAACTTCTGATAGATATCCTTTTCTAAAAGAAGATTCCAGAGTTAGTTATCTTCAAAGAATGAAAGACAGTACAAATGCTAGGAATCTCAGTGATATTCTGACAATTTTAAATACAGCTTGACCTTCTCTGCACAAGATAATCGTCATCAAAAGTTTGCTATCTGTGAACCTCAGTCACAGAAGGATGAAGTGCATTTTTCTCTGGTTAACTGCCAGGGAGTGTCTATAATCGCCTGTAAGATTAAAACTCAACGTTGTGTGAATTTTCAATGAATACACTATTCTTCTCATTATATACAATTCTAAATTTACGATCATGAGGAATATGCTCAATACTTTTAAGGAATTTCAGCACAAACCAGAACATCTACTCGATAATTTCTAAATCGACGTTGTCATCCAACCCACAGTAATTATTAAAGTCATACTGACCTTTATCTTTGAAGCTCTAGGTAGGAGAAAAATGCTTAATGAGTCTCATATCTTTCTGTTTAAAAACAGCAAGTTATTTATTCCATAATATCAATAATATTACTTACTCCAGGCATAATTTTATCTTTAATATCCTGAAGTATCTGATCAAAGTTTTCTTTATCCTCGGGGGCTCTATTTGGCATAAGAGGTATCAGATAACCAGGCTTGATATTAGTTTGGTCAGGTAGGACAGGGAATTCACGACAGAATGCACCATTTCGATACTTTACAATGAACTGAATTAGTTGTTGAGCTGCAGACAAAAATTCTTCTGAATCCATAATGTAGGATAAGAATGATATCTTCTAAACAAATAGTGGCAAACAAGAGATATCTGTACAACTTTTTTGATAGTTACATTTTGAATTTATTATAGTCGAACTGACTAGACACTGGAATTCAGTCAACATCATGCCGGTTGGCACTTGCTAATGAGCGAATCTATTGGTATTATAATGAAACTACTACCAAACCCCAGTCACTGGCTGAATATTAAGCTTCAGATTACCTTGCTCCTTGGTTATTGACACTCTTCGAAAACGAGCATCTGTAACATCATGGAAACTAATGATATCTCACAGACTCGAACCTGTGTCACACAGGACAGCAGTGGAAGACACTACTTATAAAACTGCTAGAAATAAGATAATTTTTTAAACACACTAAGGCTTTAGATGTGTTAACATTATGAGTTAAATGATTAACGAAGTGGGATGCTTTGGATAATGGCCAAATAACCATACTTGGCATAATACACTAATGAACGAAGTGAGCAGTTATACCACTGTTGAAGTGAATAACTGCACGTTGTATCATAGTGATACCAGAAAGTTTACTTTATTTACTCTCCAAGCCTACCTTTTTCATTGACATACACCGATGAGTAAACTGACCTCCAGTGAACGATATTTGAATCCCATTAGATTAACTCGATAGAGTTATCATTGCATAATGATTATATTTATGTGAAAGTGTCTTCCGAATTATGGCGTTCAGTAAAATATTTCGGTTCTTAGTGCAATGAAGTTATGCTTAATTTTAATATTATTGGAGAGCGTTGTGTTAAGGTAATATGACATGACTACGGACGTTAGTTAACTCAGAACAGAAAGTCTGTTAGGTATTCAATACTGTCAAATGTTGTCAGAAATTTGATGGGATAGCTAAAATTGAGTTAGACTGTATCAAAAAACTGTCGACTTAAATCTTGCTAAGACCCATCATTTTTCTCAGCTGTAGGTATCATCCGTGAACAGTATAGTTGTAGTTCATAACCACTCACATTTCTTCAGTAATAAATATTTCCAGATTTCGGTTCACGAAAAACAAATTCTTATTATAAACCAAAGGAATTTTTAGGTTATTTGTATCACGGACTAACATTGGATGGAGAACAGCTGAAAAAGTGGCAGCACTGGACAACTGTTTCATCCAAGTCAGAGTTTCTCTAGCAGTGAACACTCACAACCCTGTGGGTAACTAAGCCTAGGAACTTCAGTCTCCTGGTAGACATGTTACTATTCAACCATTGGATTAGTGTTCCACTGTTCACATTTTCAAATCTCTGTCTGCTCAGGATATAACACCAGAAAACCCTATGGTCTTCGACTCCATCCTTCATAGAGTTGTGGGTGTGGACTTCTGAAGAGTCTCAATTCAAGACGCAACAACTACTCCAAACTCCCAGGATTTTCATCATGTTTAGGGCTATTTCAGTTCGTGGGGAAAAAACTCCGAATTGAATCAGTTCCACACCAACTAACCACTTCAAGGGGAACCTTAGTTGACATCTGTGGCTCCTAGTTCCATTGTGATAAAACTGGGTGGAGAATTCACATGTTCACAGTTAAATTCATGTATCTAGTTCACCAAAAGCCTATTTATACACTGTTGATACTGATCGAAGGACAGTAAAGACAATTAGCAGTGAAGTCTACGCAGCTGTAAGTATTGTAATCACAAGATAAGTGTCCCACTAATTTGAAGCCTCATTTATCATTTATGTTCCGGTAGGGATTTAGCACATAAAGCTGAAATGCTTTAACCACCACAATTTTAACTTACTATCTGGAGTAGATAATTGCATTTAGCCCTGAATGTCTCCTTCTATTCGTGATCCATACTCTATATGTCAGACACACAGAGTTCCAAACCATCGTGAAACCAGGAAAATTTTAAAAGCACATCTTAAACTTGCCACCAAGCTAAATGTAAGTTCTCTTCTTGTTTTCTTGCATCACAATGCACGTTGTTCGTACCGCATAGTTAACAGGGAGCCCCATTAATACAATCTAGATCTGATCAGCAAGTTTTACTTATTGACTCACAAGGGCATTGTTCGCTTAGAAACTCAAAATATGGACATTGAGCACCACAGCTGAAGACAAATCACATCCTGTAATGGCTATAACGAGTGACTTAGTAACCTCACAATAATTTCATTGCAAAGTCCATCAAAGTCCAACAGTAAAGTCTTTGATAGAAATCTTCAGTCAGTCAGTATTAACATAGAATATGACAATATTGTCTAACAGTCACAGTCACCACACCTCACATCGATGAATGAAGAAACGAGGCAGGAATAAGAAATAGAGAGAAATTAGAAAAATGTGTTGAGAATCTTGATGGAATCATTAAAGGATGTAGATATCGGCAATTCCTAGCATGAATTTCTTACTATCATGTAATACTTACCAGTTATACTTCCCTCAAAAATAACCGAAAATGCTTTCCATGTTCAAGTCACAACGGATTGTCAAATTTATACACACTAAAGCACATCAAAAAATTTGATTGGCTGTTACTGTTTCTTCGTATTTCGCCAAGACTAGCTATCCCGCCTATCTACGACATACATCAGCCTAGTGAAATAAAACAGTCTCATTGTTGTTCAGAATTTTTTCTGTATACCGCTGTAAAACATTCGCAATAACCTACATATTCAATCGACTTTTTAACAGTTATTTGCTCACATTAAGTTCAGTGTGTCAAAGAAAATATATTGAGAGTATTCTATGACCAAAATTTTTTGCGAAGAAATCGTACATATTTTTCAACAAAAAAATTAAAATGGCGATGAGTATTCACATGGATTTCCACATTCTCAAGAGTTGGCAAATCGACTCAGACAGTGTTTTCATCAATTAAACACAATGCAAAAATGAACTTGTTGCAATGTATGTATGTATGCATGTATGAATGCTTCTATCATTCTGCTCAATAATGTTGAAGCTGAAATCTAACCATCATTCATATTTGCCTAAGGAAAAATGAAACAATACAGTGACAATCATGGTATTCTCCGAGCATAATGCCCAATCAAACACGAAGCAGGTATTCAACTTTCATACGGTTTCACTGGATCCCTCGTCAATGTCCATGCTTCACGAAAACGTCTTCCTCTAAAACCAATCAAATTCCGCCCATCACCTACTTCCGAAAACTGAAAGAATGAACTGAATGAGCATTATTATTGAATCTCAGTGAAGAAATGTTCCATACTAAACACTGATAGACTTGATACACAGTTCGCACGCTAGAAACTATAAACATTAAAGAGTATATAGTGAAATATCTGTTGGAATAAAATTCTGTACATTTTAATAGACGGTTTATATCACCGTAACGAATAACTCATCACTAATTACTTATCGAAGTCGAGTGTTTTGACAAGGCTGGTGGACAAATTGCCACCTGCAGATTTGGAGGAATATTTGTCAAACTGCACATTATCTGATGATCTGTTACAGTGTCTGTCGTGTATGCTACTAATGAGGATGCAGTTAAGTAGTGTGTGCTACGAAGTCTTCGGAAAACTCGAAAGAACAAACATCAATATAGGTGTAAAACTTGGCCACTGTGGTAGAATTGAATTCCAGAGTAGATTTGTTTATTTGATTTACAACATACAGTGATATAGTACTATTTACTTGAAAGAACAAACTATCGACAAGTGAACATTGAAGAATGAGAAAGGGGGTGTATTGAAAGTGGCCAGATTACAAGGCAGCTACAACACATATATGAGTGATCATTATGAAGGCCCATACACTGCTCTATCCATGGAACTTAGACAGGCTTAACTCAAGTAGATTTCTACTCAATATTGATTATCCAGTGTTCAACCAAGTTCCCAATGAGCTCAACTCATCATCCATCTCCCAAACATGCCTAAAACTACTTGGTCCAACGAATAAAGAAATAACTCTTCTGGCTGCTGGCCAGTTACTTTTATCCCTCTGTTATTCATTGACTAGCATCTTAACAGTGATAGTCGAAATGGAGTTGACTTTACCATCCACAATTCGAAAAGTCTGGTTACCTTCACATTACCAATCATGTCAACACTCCAATAAGTATTTGAGACTGATGTCTATCATTTTGAAATACCTCCTCTATTATCACCATCAGTTGAGCTCACGTTTTCGTTTCATAACTTTCAGTGTGCTTACTACTCACTCCATTGCACAGTGATTTCCAGAAAATAACAGTTAGATTATTCAAGATTGTGGTGATGTTCTGGTGGAGACCATAGTGGTGAAAATCCCTCTACAATTAGAAGTGATAAAGGTGGGTTAACTGAATGTCTACCCGAAGTGTGATGTTCACGAGAATGTGATCTCCATAAATGCTCAACTCTCTCACAGTCAAATGTAGAAAGAAGTCCAATCTTCTACTGATTACTAATGTCACCACCTACTAATCATTCATCAGTATCTCGTTGTTCACTACTCATATTTGTATGACTGAAATCTACGTGATGTTGAGTGTATATGTGATGAAGAGAAGTGTGATATTGACTCTGGTAATGTATCTCATAGCAGAGTATCTTATCATTCATATCAGCTACTCCTAGATGACCCTGGCTAATACTTGATACAAAATCTCACACTGCCATTCGCAACATTAAGGCTTGTTTGTAACCAGAGCCAAAAGTGTATGACAGCACTACCTGCTCAAATGAGCCAATGAATGCGCTAGAGAACATGTTGACAAACTCCAAGCAACCAGATTAGATTAAACTGGG